GGGAGCCGGATTCTCTCCGAGCTGCTCGGATTCCCGCCCTGGGAGCTTGTCAGCGTCTCCAGAAGGAGGCTCGGTCTGTGTGGCAGTTGCTATGACAACTAGTTTTCTTATAATTATAGAACATGGTGGTGACACCACCAGCTGCACATACAGTTGCTTTGTTAGGACCTGTCTTCCCCTGACAGCTCCAGGAGCTTAAACATCACAATTTTAAAAATCACATTTAATGTAATTACGCATTACAGCCACGGAGGCCAGAGGACGAGAAAGGCGGGAGGTTGACCCTTTCACTGTGCGATGAGCCTGCGAGGCAGGCCACGTGACAGGTCAGAGGAAAACGGCATTTCTCCCTGGGGAAGTCTTTGCTTTTGTATTTTCTTTGGGCTCAATGCGTGTCAGGGCTCAGCCAAAAATATGTTTAAAGAGAAGAGAGAAGCAAAAAGAGCCAAATGAAAATTAGCCTAATGCTTTTCAAATAGCGGGAGAGGCAGCAAACTGTTAGCATTCCAGCAACCACTTGCCAGTTTAGTTTAGTTTAGCTTATGTTCTCTCACTCAGTCCTCATATCAGGTCTTTGGCGTGGGCATCATTATCCATCCTACAGACGGGAACAGAGAGGCAACGTGGCTTGCTTTAGTCACACAGCCCCACAGTGTCCACCCCAATCCATGTTCCCTGCTGCCATGCGGCCTTTCTCACAATGCGTGTGGGAAACAGCTCCTGAGGGTGGGGGGAGGGGAGGGGAGGGGCATGGTTTGTAGGGTTTGCCCATTTCCGTGGTATAAATACTCCTACCATAGTTGGTCAACAACTGGTCTGCAAACTTATACTAATGGGCCCTGGGGAGCCCTTCCCTGCAGGAGCGCATGGGGCAAGAATACTCACTAAGCTCTCCAGTCCCCGTCTGCACTACATGTGTTAACGAGTGGTGTTCTCCATCACGGCCCTTACTCAGCCAGGTCTGAGTCCAGGAGGAGGAGAAGCTGGCCCTGGGAGCAGCCAGTCCCGGCCCCGCGTGGTCACCCATCAGCCAGTCCCTCCTGCAAGCCCCCAGCATGTTCCTCCTGACGCAGAGCCACACATGGTTTGTTAAAGAGAAAATCAATTAGGCCACACCTGCTTTTCAATGTCAATGACAGTAGAGATTTTCTTCCCCGCCAGGTAACACTCTCTTCTCACCCAGCAGGCATTGTTTTTAATAACTTACCTAAAATGCTCCTCAAAATAAAATTTAAAAAAAGGAGAGCAATAAAAACCAAGGCAGCAGATAATAAAGTAAAATAGCTTATCTCCATTTGCTGCTGTCAGCAAATATTAGAATCCTGAGCCACGGAAGGCGGCCCCTGGCGCTTGGATGAAAAATTAGGAGAAGCAAACGGTCAAGCTGAAAATGGGGTCTCACCTCCCTAGGAGCGGCATGAGGCAGAGACGTTGATAAAAATGTGTTGCTTCTCGCCCCCGATTTTAAATAAAGATCCTGGGTCCAGGCAGCCAGCTCTGTGTGTGTCAGCCCGGGGCCTGTTCTGTTGGCTCAGTTATTAACAGGGCTTTCGGTGCCTGGTGGCCAGGGACTGGCAAGGCTCTCGGGGTGCAAAGATGAAAAAGACACCGTCCCAGCTCAAGTCAGTGGGAGACATGGCAGGTGACTCCATGGGGCCACCACTATGACTGGTGCTAGAATGGAGTCATAGAGCAGGAACCGGGGCCCCCAGGAGGAAGGACAGACTGCGCATGGGCGGCGGGCAAGACCACACAAGCCAGGAGCCCCTGACTT